CCCCCCCCCCCCCCATGTGGGCTGGTAAGCCATTGATGATGATGGCAACTTCGCCATCTCTCTCCTCCTATGTCCAGAACACCCCATCGAATGTCCCTTTTCTTCTTCATTTCTATATCTTAATCTCATTATGTTTTCTTCTTATGGTTTCTTGTATGTTAAATATTTGGTCTGCACTTTAATCGTGTCTCCCTAGTCTTATAATGTTTTCCTACAATATCATTTCCTTTTTTCTATCTTATTCCGTCTCTCTCCCTCTTTCTCTCCACACCTTACTCCTGCTCTCACTGTTTATCGTTGAGGTGAAATCGTGAACCCCAACCCCCTCCCACAACTACAATATTTTTTTTTTTTTTTTTACATGTAAAATCTCATTATTAATAAATGCAAGACATTTTATATTTAGAAGAAAGGTAAGGTTTATTTTATTTCACATGTAGCTGGTTCCCGCATTCAAATCTGTTAAGTACTTAACAACAGTAACTTGTACACATACACACGTTACAAGAGTTATATCTAAACATATCTTGTACACATACACACGTTACAAGAGTAATGTCTAAACATATCTTGCACCAATTCACATGTTACAAGAGTTATATCTAAACATACCTTGTACACATACACAAGAGTTATATCTAAACATATCTTGTACACATACACACATTACATGAGTTATATCTAAACATATCTTGTACACACACATGTTACAAGAGTTATATCTAAACATATCTTGTACACATACACACGTTACAAGAGTTATATCTAAACATAGCTTGTACACATACACACGTTACAAGAGTTATATCTAAATTCAACCACATATATACATTATAATCTTAAAGTTGTGTTCATGTATATCCTCAGAAAATATATGTGATAGATTATCAGTCCTGTTTACTCTTACGATTTTGGCGTACAATGTACGATTTTAAGATATATACATTATGTATACTGTATGTTTATTTTTGACTATTAAGATAATGTACTGAACGATTTTGTGATGATATTGTACGATTTTAAGAGTTTAAGGGTAAACAGGTCTGGATTATGATCCATTCATACAACAGATAAAGTCATACATTTTCTCTGCATTGTGTGAAGACGTTGTTGTCCTGAGAAGAATTCGACAGTAATCGTTGACTTTATGAAGCCAGAATTTATACCCACAGAATATATAATGGCAGCATGCAAACCAGCAAAATGTATGCTAACAGAATACCCACAGAATACATACCGACTTCATGTAGGCCTATACCGACTAAATGTATACTAACACTTACTAACAGAATGTGTACTACAGAATATATACCAACATCAGGGTATACCAACAAAATGTATACTAACAGAATGTGTACCCACAGAATAAGTATTAACAAAATTTATACTAACAGAATGTGTAGCCACAGATTAAGTACCAACAAAATGTATACTAACAGAATTTGTACCCACAGGATGCATACCGGCTAAATGTATACTAACAGAATGTGTACCCACAGGATGCATACCAGCTAAATGTATACCAACAGGATGTGTACCGGCAGAATGTATATACTTACAGAATGTGAACTATTGGGAAAGTATATGGACAGGAGTATACTGACACAAATATTAACCAACAAAATGCATACCAACAGATCTCTAAAAATGTATTTATTTATTATTCATTCATTTTTCGAAACAAAAAAAATGTTGTTTTTTTACAATAACCCAAGCTGGAAAAATAACTGACATACATTCATAACAATAACTTTATAATTCATTTGACTGTGTTATAGAAACCGGTTTTTGAGCATGGGACATTGCTCAGGGTTTTTTTAGCATTTCATCGCTGGTGACATCATGGCCCTAAAGAATGTGTATGTCTGTGT